AGCAATTAGAACAGTGCTTGGCATATAGTAAAACTCAGTAAATATACTATTTATTATCTTATTTATTCCTACTTTGTTGTTTATTATCTCAGATTCTTGCTTTTCATGCTTCATGATCTAATTTCCATATATGTTGGCAATTGAAATCATAATAGAGAAGGGAAAAGACACTTCTAAGTCCATAATTTATAAATATGACAACTGGCAGCTCAACATAAAGAGGAAAAAAAAAACAAAGGGCTAAGCATAAGAACTCACAAAGTATAACATTCTAGGTGGTTTCATGTATGAGAAAATAGCCATAAACTTTCAACAGCTCCAGAGGTATTAATGTATTTCAAAACAGTTCGGGATCTACTTCAAAGTTATGATTCTGACTCATGAAGAAAATGTTAAATTCTAATTAGTTTTGAGCAGCCAGAAAGTATTTTATACTTTAGGAAGATTCCAAAACTAAGTAAAATAAAGAAAGAAAGAAATGTATCTAAAGGTCCATTTCTAGAAGATTTTGAGTTATATCAGTGTAATTGTATTTGCTTTTTTTTTTTTTTGCTTTCTCCTTTCAGTCCAAATTAATTTTCTTCAGAATTATATGTAAATGTTATTCTTAGGCACAAGCATTGTTTCCATTAAATATCAAATAAGACTTCCCTGGTATATATCTAATTTTAGCCTTCATTTTTAGCCATTGCTAATGTGGGATTAATATATAAATCAAGTATAGAAATCAAATGTATAATCATATATGACTTGATTATTTTTCCTGTAATTCCTGATAAGTGATCAAGAACAGAACAAACAAGACCTAACAGTTTCTGTGACCTAATTGCCCTTGCTATTGTTTCAATACCATATAAGACATTGCCCCAGGAGACTGGAGACTGCCGCAGATTAGAGTTAGTTAATGATTGTGTATTACATACCTCCTACAGAATTCTAGAATTCTATTGTTGTTAACATTTATTTGCTCAGTAAATACGAAGGCTGCCCTCTCAGCACCACCACTCTTGCGTTGTCACGCCTTGTGGCCCCTGGCTGGTCCTTTCGGATCTTTGGATCTTTGATATCTCATCGTGTCTCCTCCCTTATCTGCGGATCAGAAGCAGGGAGGGACCGACATCTAAATTGCTATAGTTCATCCATACGAAATCCTCATGACTCTTGAGCTGGCCCCGTTTGAAGTAGAAAGATTTAGACTCAGTTATGTTTACCAAGAGTTGAGATGAATTTTATGTCATGCCAATGATGTGTTTGCATTTTGTTGAAAATTTTCACATCGATACTAACCAAGAATAGTGGTCTATAGTTTTGTTCTCCTCTATTACCTTTGTCTGACTTTGATATCAAGGTATCAAGGCCTCATAAAATGAGGAAGCGTTTCACTTCAATATTTCAGAAGAGTCTGAAGAATACCAGTGTTAATTCTGTAAATGTTTGGTAGAATTGTACAATGAGACTATCTGGTTCTAGGATTTTCTCTGTTGGGAGATCTTTTATTACTGATTCAGTCTCTTTACTAGTTCTAAGTCTGTTGAGAATTTTTATTTCTTCATGACTCAGAAATACAAAGTCCGTATGTTTTTGGGAATCAACCTTTGTTGCTTGAAGCTCTTGGCTGCTATCTCTTCCCATCCAGATTTGGCTTACTCCTAGAAGCCAAGCTTTGATCGTGGATTTCTCAAGAGCTCTCCTTAGTAAATCTCTGCTGGTGGCTTGATGTGCGTGGGCATTTTAGATTCATCCAAAAGGGCATCCAATCTTTGTGAGCAGCTACCTCAATCATGGGGGTACTATATGTCTTGACATGAGAAGCTCAGTGTTTACCAAAGGCTATCTTGGAAGAGCTACCCTCATGGAGCAAATGCTGCTTTTTCCATTTATACCCTCTTGGACTTCTACAAAGATGAAGTAGAAAGATTTAGACTCAAATGTCCAAAATGAACATCTTGAATATCTACAATTGATATTTTAAATGAATGTTAAATTAGAATAAAATTCTGAAGATTTTCTCCTTTATTAAGTGAGGATCTATTTTAAATTCTAAATCCTAAATTTTCTCCCTAAGGAGAAAAATTATGAAAAGCAGCTTCTCTGTCCAAACACAGGAAACATCAGTTGAAGAGTTACCATGGTGATGTAGATTTTTAAAAGCTTGGCTCCTGAACTAATTGTCTAGTCTTGAAAATGTGTAAGCTTGGTTGGGAGGTGGCAGAGTTTGAGTAGGTATGGAATGGTCATGGTGGATAGAGTGAGAAAGTATGGTGGTAAGTGCAGATTTACAATCAATATAAAAATAAGCCAGGATAACTTGTATATTCCAAGAGGAGCAACAGCATGGTAGGTCCCGTACAGGTGCCACAGTCTTAGAGGACAGCAAGATGATATTTTTTTATTGAATTTAACTGACTGCATGTTTTTTCTTTCCTTTGAGAATAGAAGATAATTTAAGAATAGAGCAAAGAGGTTGAGATGACTAATAATTCATTTTGCTGTGTTCCCCATAAAAAATTAGGAAGCATTTTTAATTTTTAAGTTCAAGGGAACTTTATATTTGGTGATATTTCTCTAATGAGCTAGATGTTTTTCAGCCTTCAATTTTCTTTCAGCTTTAGAGCTAACTTACAGTAAAGAGATATTCTTGTCCAGTAAACTTCCAGATGTGCCTTAAACACTTAAGATTTTGGCTAAGCAGTGTTGCAGTGCTGAGTCATATTATCAGGAATTAGTGCTGTTTTAATGACTAGTATTAACCTCCAAGTTCCAGTGAGGTAGTACATTTGAAGTATGCTTTAAATTATTAATAGTATTATTAGTATCTAAGACTTAGAATACCTGGATGATTTTTTTTGCTGCATGTTTAATAAATGTAATTCACAAGAAATTCCAAGTTATGCTCATAGTATCACAGTCTAGATAATGAGATGATGATACCACACTGAATTACTCTTGTCAGTATCCTTTCTTTCCTTCTTTCTGCCTCGCCTCTTAGCACTAGAATGTCCAGTTTGTACCTAATTCCTTCATTGCCTATAGGCACTCCCTTAATGATCTAGTCTTATCTGGTTTTATAGCTTTATTTATGACCTTTATGCAAATAAATCCCAAATTATACAGCCAGCATCTCTCCTCAACAACATACTACTTTATCAGATTGCCTATTTGATGTCTAGAATTAAGTTTCAAATAGACACTTGCACTTAAATGGCTTCTGCTTTTCCCCCAAAATCTGCTCCATCTGCAGCCTTCCCAGCCACCTACAGCAACTCCATTCACAGGGTTACTCAGGCCCGCAACCTTGAAGTCATCCTTTATTCTTTTCTTCCTCTTATACCTCATATTTAACCTATTAGGATATGTTGGTGGTTCTGCCTTCTTCAAACTGTATCTAAATCTGAGTGAATGATTGTTCTCCCAAATTAAAAACTAAGTCTCAGAGAAGAGAATAGCTCAAATTCACATAGCTAACAAGTGAGAAAGTCAGAATTCAGATCTCTATATTCTGCCACAGATAGTTAATATGCTCTTTCTACACTAGTGCTTCTCCAAAGTAAATGTTATAATTGCCTTTTTGTTTATACAGTTCAGAAATATGATCTGACCTATCAATATTGGTGGATCTTTATAAACAGTATATGTTATTTCAATTAGGTTCTGTGGAAATTCTCTAGGAACACAATAGTTATTTCAGAAATACTTGCTAACTTGAATTTGATTTGTACTTAACTGCTCTTACATTTTGCTCTGGGTCAAGAACTGTGTTTTCAATTGAAAGATGTAATTGTATATCTGTGTGTATGGGTGAAAAAAGAGGGCTGTTAATGAAAAAATATTCATGAAGCTCTTCTATAAAACTTTTTCAAAGATCTTGCTAAATTTCTGTGAATTTAGAGCATACATTAATTAGCTCCTTCTACCCTTATATATAAATACTTTTCTGTTTGCTGGAGTTTTCATGATATGTAACACTGATCTTGATGTTAATCATTAAAGCTTAAATTGTGGAATTATTATTTAAATTATTTAGAATTTTCTTTCAAGGGCCTCTGTATCAGAAGGAACTTTTATATCTTTTAAATCCAGTGGATTTTAGACTCTTTAATCAATTATCATGGTGAAAAGGGAAAGTATTGGGATCTTGGTAGAGCAGTTATCAGAAAGGAAATTTCAGTGTTGATCACATTCTTGAAACACCCGTTTTACTGACTGATGTACTGTTTGTACTTTAATAGAACGTCTTCCATGTTTAGGTAATTGAATGTACCAGAATGAGTATGGTAAACTGAATTTTGGGAGGATTAAGGGATATTCTTGAAAAAAACCAAGATTAAGCTTTGGGGAGATTTTATCTACTGGTGTCACATATTTGGAAAACTGATCATTGTTTTTCTTTATGTACATGTAGAATATTTATCCATAAAATTGAGTTTGGGTATAGAGTACTTGGGATTGTTATTTGATCTTTCCTTTCTCTTCTAAATTTGCATTTTAAAGTTCACCTCTTTCGTTACTTTATCAATCTGTTTATTTTGTTCCAAGGATGAAATCTGATGAATATTTAACTCATAAAAGCAGTTTTCACATCTCAAGTCATACATATCTCTCTGTCTACCTACCTACCTACTTGCCTTTGCTTTGATAGAAATACTTAGCATGAAATTCCTTTTAAAAGTCTTTGGAAATATTTCTTAAAGCACTAAGATTGCTATTTGAAGCATGAAAAACAAAAACTATGTCCAAAAGATACTCCCTGTGGCAACCGAATGAGTTAAAGATGGGTGGCAACTGCAGCTGTAATGGCATATATTTAGAAGGAAACTCAATTTGCTGCTTCTAAAACAAGTGTGTTGGCAAACAAATCTAAAATAAAAGTTTAAAAATGAGATATTTTACTTCTGGAAAATGTGATACTCTGTTACCATTTGCAGTGATAGATATCTATAGGTCTTTATACTGTGATATAAACTATGATCAACTATACTGCTGTCTTTTCTTTCTCATAGTGTATGCCAATTAAAGGCCTGGGATTCGTGCTTGGAGCCTATCAGTGTATTTGCAAAGCAGGATTCTATCATCCTCGAGTCTTCTCAGTGAACACCTTTCACAGTAAGTATCCTTTGCTTCTTGTGCATATATATGAATACACATAATATCTACCATTATTAATTTTCAGATTTTCTTTTTAGCCTTGTTGCAGTTATTTAGTTAAATCCCCACTGGATTGTTCACTTTAGGTATATTTTAGCTTTCAAAACATCCTTAAAGTCTAAAAATACTGTAGTTGCTTGGTAAGATCAGCTGGGATTCCACTCATTGAGAGCAGTTGCTACCTTGTCAGAGGGCCACGTGGCTAAGACCTTAGAGTGTCCTCTAAGAGCTGAGAGCACAGCCCACCAGCAGCAAGCAGGAAAACATGGACATCAGTTCCACAACTTCAAGAAGCCAAATTCTTCCAACAGCTTGAATAAACTTGGAAAAAGACCCTGAGCTCCACATGCGAATCTCACCTCAGTCTAGTGAGACCCTGGAGAGAGAACTCAGTTACTCTGTGCCCAGACTTCTGATCAGCAGAAACTGGGAGGTAATAAATAGGTATTTTAAGCCCCTAAATTTCCAGTTTCCAGTAATTTATTATACAACAATAGAAAACTAATACAATAGCAATGATGACAGCATATTTTCAGGATGGGTATGATGCTTTTCCTTATGTGTGTGTGTGTTTGTGAGAGAGAGAGAGAGAGAGAGAGAGAGAGAGAGAGAGAGAGAGAGAGAGAGTGTGTGTGTGTGTGTGTGTGTGTGTGTGTGTGTGTGTACACCAAACTATGTCAATACCAGAGCTACTTTGGCATTCTTCACATTTATGGTCCAGACATATGATTCAATACTGAAGGATTAAGCAAAAAGGTTTTAGCTTATGTTCTGTGAAGGTATTTTGTATCTGGTTTACCCACATTTGTTCTCAGCTTCCACTGTGTGACTGAAATAAAACATTTAAATATTTTAAATCCAGAGAATGACTATGCCATTTGCTTATAACACCACCAGGAGGAACTAGTTAACCTTTAACAACTTATCTTTATTTAATTTGCACACTCCTACTTTCTTCCTCATTTTAAAATCCAGTGTTTCTCACTGGACCTATTTTCCCTAAGAAAAAGTCTGCTCTTTGCAGAAGTCTAACTTCCATGCCGTACACACTGCAGCCATGGGAAAGAGGCCACTGTTCTCAAAAAGAATCTATATTTGGGCATAGCTGTGATTCAGCTTTGACCTTCGCACATACTTAACCAGAACTCTCCTTCCTCAAAGACAGAACAGAAAGCTGGCTGCATGTTATAATTTGAAGTCAGTAAAGTGCTCTTTCACCAAAAATATCTTTTCTGATGGCCTTGTCAGTTTGCATGAAAACCCAGCATTACTCAGTCTTTTCCATGCAATGACCTGAACTCACCAGCATCATCTCCAAGGACTGTCCAGTCATTTTTTGATTTTTGCTTTATCACTAGAATTTTTACTACATATCTCTGAGTTTTAATATATTGTCTTTTAATCCTAGTGTCCAAGCAATTCATATGGGAAGTTGTTTTCACAGCTTCTTGAGGAGGCATCTATGAAATAAGCTCTGGGGCCAAGTGTAAAAAGGCGTTGAAGAACAAAAGATGAGGCATCAGATGTAAAAATGTCAGCTTAGTACATGGCATATAATAAGATGTAGTTAAATATGTGAATAAATAAACAAATGCATACATACACATATAGAAACAAACATCAGGGATATATATAAAGAGATCATTCTTAAGCACCACTGGTCGTTAGCACTTTGTCTCACATATTTTATTTTAGGATTACTAATTTCTCTAAACTATAACTTTTGAAGAATGGATTCTATGTGGATCTGATGATAGGACAGCAAATGTGCCCCGACGCAGTGCTGCATTGAGTAGAGCAGTAGAAACACTCGTTGGGAGTTAGAGGCAAAAGGAGGAAATTAGTACAGTCTTGTACCCCATTTGGAGGGAGGAGCTAAGATGTGGTGGTGACATCTTAGAGAAACCGTAAGTGTGACGGTTAAAACTCTTCATTAAAATATGAAATGATTTAAAATCTTTATTTAGACCAAGGCCCACAGTAAACAAAAGGCTTGTGAAGACCAGCAAGGCTGTGTTCAAATGGCAAGATTTAAAACTATGCTGACAGACCAGAGACTGTGTTCCTGGCGTCTCTCTCGAAGTTGGCAGCCTGATGTGAGATGATAGGATTTGACATCTGGATAGTAGCAGGATTTCAGAACAACCAAGTGCTGATGTATAACTGTCTCTTCAACTCCAGGTTGTTCACCTCCAGGTTGATGAAATACAAGCTCATTACAAGCTCATCTTTCTCAAACCCATCTCTCTTAGTGTGAATTCTGTCTTCAGTGAAACCTTTTTTCTTTTCCTCATATACATTTCCAGATAAACTCAACTTACAAATGACCTATACCTAAAAATGACAATCCCTGCTTCACCAATTCTGGTGCTATTTATTGATAGTGGGGGAAAAAAAGAAAAAAAGAAAAGTAGAGATAGTAAAGAGATGTCTCAGAAGAAAAGAAAGGGAAGTTTTTGGAAAGCAGGTACAGTGTAGGGATGCTGAGTCCTAAGTAAATTGTTTAGCAAGACTAACCTATGTCTGGAATAAGTGTATCTCTCCTCTTTTTTCATAGTCGGAGAGCTGGAGATGACTTGGCTCTCTGCCGATGAAGATCAGTACCAGTCTCTAGCGTCAATCCTATACTTGGAACAGATCAGAAGAGCTTGAACATCATGTTCTCATAATCAGCATCATCACTTTTGCTATTGATCTGACTTCAACTTTATGGTCTGGTTCACTTTGGTGTTTTGTAGAAACTTAGTCCTACTCAGTTTCACTCCAGTTGTAGTAGTAAAATTTTCCATCTAATGTCCTATGCTTTTGTTTTTGCCCCATTCCTTTGCCTAGTATTCAGCATTCATGTCTTCCTCCATCAGTCTTGTGTGTCGGGATGGATGAGTCCAGTCACTGAATGTGTCTGGTAGATGGATGAGTTCCTAGTGCTGCCAATCTTCTTGTTTTGACTATTGCACTTACCTGGTTTATCTCTGACTATGTTCTTTTCAACTATTGGGACACACTCCATGCCATGTTGGACTTGCCTGGTTGCCATATTTCTACCAGAGCTGAATTTCTACCATAGTTTAACACAGTCTTTAAGAGCATGGTCTTTGGTATAAGTCTAACGAGTTTGAATCCTGGCTCTTCTACTTAATTGTACCATGCTGTATTATTGAACTTCCTATCCTTCATTCATGTCATAGGTAAAATTGGGATAATGTCACCCACTTCATAGAATCTTTCTAATGATTAAATGAGGTACTAAATATAAAGGTCCTGTCAGAGTAGTTAGCACATATCAAATGCTCAAAAATATTTTTATTTTTATGATTACTATTTGGGAGCTTGTGTTCTTTCTGTTTATCTTCCCCTCTCCTCACATATTTTCCCCATTTTCATTCCTTTAGGATCTGTTCCACTTCTCAGCAGAGGTGCATATTTCCAAGCTCCAGATTTTTTCAGTTTAGTTTGTTCTTCAAATGGATCCTGCTCTGAGATAACATTTAGTCTTCTAAAAATCTTCCTTCACTTTTACTAGCTGAAATTTTACTTCAACAGGTTTTTCTTATATTTCTACTTATTTATATTGTTTTACTTTATTAGACTTCTAATTAGAGATTCACTTTTCTTAACAATTGTCTTCCCCCAAATATTAAAAACCTCTGGCAGGAAAATCTGACTATCAATCATTTACACATCAGCTCAATGTGGTAGGTAGAATGATGCCTCCTAACCCCCATAAGAATGTGCATGGCCCAGTTTTCACAAATGGTGAATGTGTTATTACCTCACATGACAAAAAGGGACTTTGCAGATGTGATTAAATCATGACCTTGAAATGGAGAGGTTATCCTGTATTATCCATGTGGGCCCAATCTAGTCAGTCCTGAAAAGCAGATAATCCACTGGCTGTGGTAAGAGATAGAAGTGAGGACACAAGAAGGGCCACAGAAATGCTACCCTGCTGGCTTTGAAGATGGAGGGAAGAGTCCATCAGCCAAAGAATGTAGGTGGCATCAGGAAGCTGAAAGAGGCAAGGAAATGAAGTCTCCTAGGTTTTCTAGAAAAAAATACAGCCTTGCTGAGACCTTAATTTTTAGCCCAGTGAGACCCATGTCGAACTTGTGAGCACATACAGACAAAAGAGTGAATGTAACCATATTTCATATAAGATGCAATAAAAATTTGTTTAAGACACTGGTTTTGTCCTAGAGCCCATGTCTACCCTAGCACTAATAGAAAAGCAGTGCACTCAGTTAGCTTGTTTCCCACCCAATGTTCATCCTAGTATTCACAGTAGACCATAGTGCTTTTCCTAAAGCACTTATTCACAGTTCCAAAATATTAACTTGGAATGATTTATAATCTGGTGGGCTCTCTTAGTTAAGCTTGCTTTTGAGTCAGACACACCTGGGTTTGCATCTGGTCTCCACTCATTAGCAGGAGACTTGGGCAAGTTTCTCATACATTCCGAGACTTTCTTCCCATATTCATAGAGCAGGAATAGTGAAATCTATCCCCTTGGTAGCTGCGAGGAATGAGTGAGAGAGCCCATGATACACCAAAATGATGGCAATCACTATCTTAAGGTGAATAACAGGAATTTAGTCCTATTTACAGTATTTATGTATTGGGTGTTGCTGGGGGTTGAATGAATAAATTGTCAGAAGGCAAAAAAGTCTATTTGTGTTTAACAACTTTATTATTTGTATCAGAATCTTTCCAAGATCTACCTACGTTGGTATTTTGTCCAAAGACCGCTAAAGTCACTTGGAAGAAATAAAAATCTAGGAGACAATTGAAAAGTGAATATAAGATTTATAGTTATACATATAAAAATCCAGGGAAAGACTGAATTCTGACTATATTCATGGAAAGGGAGTATAGCTTCCTTTAAATTTTTTGCACTGGGCTTCATTTTGAACTTATTTTCATAGCCAGCTCTTCATGATAAACATATATGAAAGTATGTT